AGAAACATACACTGGAGAGAAAAATAAAGCAAAAATGCAGCCATAAAAAAAAGCACTTGGAAATTATCCAACAATATGGGGAACGATTGAACCTTCTATTGATGATTTAAACACAAAAATTATGGATGGATTAAATGAATTTTCAAAATTAACAAATATGAAAGGAAATGGATTATTTTATTTAATAGATCCTAACGGGGGAGTTAATACTATTGACCTTCTTATTTCAAATATAATTATTACAATACAAAGAAGAATAATTATGATGGATGGTAAAGAAAATGCAAAAGATGATAAATTTAAAGTTGAAGAATATTATGGAAAACCTGGAAAAAAAGTTCAAAAAGAGTTTACTATTGGACTTAAAGATTCAATTGATGATTTAAGTGGAATTGGTAAAACAAAGAAAGCAACGAAGGAAAAGATACAAAAAGAAAATGTATTCGAACTTCATTCATTTATTTTAGTAATAACAACATTAAACTCAATACGTCAATACAATTTCTTTGGAGGGAAAACTAATGCAATTGCACTTGCACATTTGATTAATGCAAAAGTTATTCCTAATTGTATTGGAAATATTTGGGTATATGTTTATGATTGTCCAGAAAATGAAGGAAGAAGTGGAAAATTTAATTTAGGTAAACAAAATATTACATGGACTGGTGGGAAAAAACATCCAGATCCTAATTATGATAATATGTCAAAATATTTAAGAATTAGTGATTAATTCAATTATTTTTTAATAACACTTATATCTCCTGTTAAATTATCTATTTTTAATACTTGTTCTTTATTCATTCCTAAATATAAATAATATCCAACAAATCCACTTGTATTTGCTGCTGTTTGTCTAAATATATAATTAAAATTTTCTTTAGAATATCCTTTAAATATAATAATTGTTGCTACTTGTGTTTTAAATGAGGCATTTAAACTTTTCCAAATATGCATATTTACAATAATAGTTGTTTTTAAATGTCTTAATCTTGTAATAATTTCTCCCCATGTTTTATCTTCTTTCATTAGTGAAAATGATGCATCTTCTAATATAATTAATAAATGTTTTTCTTGTGGTTGTTTATAATATTGTATTAATGCTGGCATAAATTTTTCATAATTCATTCCATAAATTGGTGTTTTAATTAAATCTTTTAATTCTTTAAATGTTTCATCTTCTCCTGCACTTTGTGATACATAAATAACTGCTCCATATAAATGTTCTATTTTATTCATTTTTATTAATTCTTTCATTATAAATGTTGTTTTTCCTGTTCCTTGTTTACCTAATATAATATTTAAACTATTATAATAAAAGAATATTTGATGATGAACTTCTTGTATTTTATTTCCTTCTTTAATTTTAGATAATCTATTATTCACTATTTCATCTATTTTATCTAATCCAATTTCGTCTTCTTCTTCTTCATACTCATCATCTAAAATATTTGAATTTTGTATATTTGTATCAAAATAATTCATTCTAAAATTAAATAGTTCAAAAAAAGTATTTAAATTAAGGACGTTGTTTCTTTGAATAATCTTAATCTTTCAAAAAGAATACCATTTCGAAGCTCCTCTTGTGATTTATTTTCTATCATAATTAATGTTCTCAATTTTTCTATTTCTTTTCTTAATC